CACGGTCAAACATCTCACTATATCACTCATAATGCATGAAAATATGATGAATGTCAGGATTGAGGATGAAGTCGCCGGTTTTAGAGGATTTGGAAAGAATGAAATGCCCCAAAAAATCTGTTCGAGTGCTCTTTAAAACGCGGGTCCCGCAGCCGCGACATTTTCAAGGCCGCGACTAAATGTGTTCCCCGCGGCCGCGACTTGGCTCCGCGGCCGCGGAATTTCAGCTCTGTCCGGCTACCTCGTTTTATGGCTTTTAACTCACTGCGGCCGCGGCGAAGGAATGCTCCGCAGCCGCGACCTTCCTCCGCGGTCGTGACATTTCCCCGAGGCCGCGGGATTTCAACTCTGGACCTGCGGTCTCAGGGACACATAAATAGTCACCGCGGCTGCGGCTAAGGGAAGCCCGCGGCCGCGGCCAGCAATTATATATATATATATATAAATATAAGAAAATCAAACGAATATACAGCAGTACAAGGATACTCGGTTTAATGCCGGGAGCTCGGCATAATTCCCTGATCACGTGTAGGCTGGGTCGCCGAGACTGACGGTCTCGACATGCCTCTTTCCGAACTCGCCATCAAAATATGGTTCCACTCTTTGCCCGTTAACCAAGAATGAGTCGTTGTTTGCCGGGTTACGCAACCGGACAGCTCCAAATGACAACACTTCATCAACAATATACGGCCCACTCCAACGTGACTTGAGCTTCCCGGGAAAAAGACGAAGGCAAGAATTGAAGAGAAGTACCTTCATTCCGGGCTCGAGGTTCTTTCGAACAAGAGTGGCATCATGAAGCCTTTTTGTCTTCTCCTTGTAGATTTTAGAATTCTCGTAGGCTTCGTTTCTCCACTCTTCTAATTACGAGAGTTGCAGCATTCTCTCTCGCCCAGCAGCATCAAGATCGAAATTCATCTTTTTGATTGCTCAAAATGCCTTCTGCTCGATCTCAACCGGCAAATGGCATGATTTCCCGTAGACAAGCCGGAACGGGCTCATCCCCAATACTCCCTTGTATGCCGTCCTTTGGGCCCAGAGTGCATCATCGAGCCGACTCGACCAATCCTTCCTAGACGAATTCACCGTCTTCTCAAGAATAGTCTTAATCTGCTTGTTGCTCGTTTCTGCTTGCCCTGAAGTCTGTGGATGGTATGGGGTGGCCACTTTATGCGAAATTCCGTATTTCTTCATCAACTTCACAAAAATCCAGTTACAGAAATGTTTGCCCCCATCGCTCACAATAGCACGTGGAAATCCAAACCTGCTCTAGATATTTTCTTGCAAAAACTTAATAACCACATTAGCATCACATGTCCATGTGGGGATAGCCTCGACCCACTTGGACACGTAATCTACAACAAGGAGGATATACTCGAAGCCAAAAGACTGGGGAAACGGTCCCATGAAATCAATGCCCCAAACATCAAAAATCTCAACTTGCAAATTGTTCACAAGGGGCATTTCATTTCTAGAACCAATGTTCCCAATTCTTTGACATCGGTCACATGATTTACAAAAATTATGAGCATCCTTAAAAAGAGTTGGCCAAAATAAACCTGATTGGAGAACTTTAAAGGCGGTCTTTCATCCTCCAAAATGTCCTCCACAGTTAAGCTCGTGGCAAAAGGTAAGGACATCCAATTGCTCTTCTTCGAGCACACACCTTCGAAGAATCTCATCCTTTCCCACCTTGAAAAGGAGTGGGTCATCCCAAAAGTAACTCCTACACATCAACACAAAATGTTTCCTCTCTTGGGAAGAGAGGTTAGCCAACAAGACACTATCTGACAAGTAAATGACAATATCAGCATACTAAGGGACATTAGTGACTTCACTCGCATGCTCATATGGAAAGTCATCATTTATACCAACATGCTCATGCAATGCAAGTGAAGGTTCAGAAGGAACAATACGACACAAATGATCAGCAACAACATTTTCACACCCTTTTCTATCTCTAATCTCTACATCAAACTCTTGCAAAAGAAGAATCCACCGAATAAGCCTAGGTTTCGGTTGAGTTTTACTCAAAAGATACCTAAGGGCTGCATGGTATGAATGCACAATTACTTTAGATCCCAGGATATAAGACCTAAATTTTTCAAGAGAAAACACAACAGCTAAAAGTTCCTTCTCAATGGTAGTATAATTCAATTGGGCACCATTGAGAGTCAAACTAGCATAATAAATTACACGAAGCAATTTATCAACTCGTTGGCCCAAAACGGCCCCCACAGCAAGGTTCGATGCATCACACATAATTTCGAAAGGTAAAGACCAATCAGGTGCAATCACGATAGGAGCAGTCACAAGCTTATTCTTCAATTTAGCAAAAGCATCTATACATGCATCATCAAATACGAAAGGCACATCATTAGCAAGCAAGTGACGCAAAGGCTGGCTAATTTTTGAAAAGTCTTTAATAAATCTCCTATAGAAGCCAGCATGACCCAAAAAGCTTCGAACACCTTTTACATTCACAGGCGGGGGAAGTTTTTCAATAACATCTACTTTAGCTTTGTCAACTTCAATCCCCCGACTAGACACTACATGACCTAGCACAACACCACTAGTCACCATAAAGTGACTTTTCTCCTAACTCAAAGTCAAGTTCGATTCAATGCATCTTTCAAGAACACGAGATAAATTATGGAGACAATTAGAAAATGAAGTACCAAAAATAGAGAAGTCATCCATAAATACCTGTAAGCAGTCCTCGAGCATATCAGAAAAGATGGAGAACATGCACCGTTGGAAGGTCCCGGGTGCATTGCATAGGCCGAAAGGCATCCGTCTGAAGGCAAATGTGTCGAATGGGCAAGTGAAGGTTGTATTGGGCTGATCCTCCGGAGCTATGGCCACTTGATAGTAGCCCGAGAGTCCGTCTAAGAAACAATAGAACTGGTGGACGGAGAGTCGGTCGAGAATCTGATCGATAAACGGCAACAGGAAATGGTCCTTCTTGGTCACGGCGTTGAGTCGCCGGTAGTCAATGCACATCCTCCACCCGGTGGTAATGCGGGTGGGAACCATCTCCTTTCTCTCATTCTCAATCATTGTAATGCCTCCCTTCTTGGGCACCACATGAATGAGGCTCACCCACTCGCTGTCGGCCACTGGATAGATAAGCCCTTCGGAATAGAGCTTCAGCACTTCCTTCTTTACCACCTCCATCATATTCGGGTTGAGCCTCCGTTGGCTGTCCCGAAAAGGCTTAGCACCCTCCTCCAGAATGATTCGGTGCATGCACGTGGAAGGGCTGATGCCCTTAATGTCTCCTGGGCTCCAGCCAATGGCCTTCTGGTTCCTCTTAAGTACCTCAATCAGCTCCTTCTCCTTTTCCGGGTTAAGCTTGGCAAAGATGATAACCGGCTTTTGCTTCTCATCGTCGAGAAACACATACTTGAGGTGGCAAGGTAGTTCTTTGAGCTCTAGTGTGGATGGGTTCGGTTTGTCAGGCTCGTCTGCTACAAATGGCTCAATGGTGGGCTCTTCTTCTTCTTCAAGATCGGGCATTGCCATCTCCTCTAAGTCTCGAATGGTCATTTTCTCGACAAACGGATCGCTTACGTCAACAAATACACACTCCTCCACAAAGTTAACCGAGGATGCTGAGGTGGCTTCTCGGACTGAGATAGATACGGATTCACCTAAGACAGTCATGTTCAAGGTCCCGTTCCTCACGTCAATAAGGGTGTTGGTGGTTGCCATAAACGGTCTGCCAAGAAGGATGGTGTGATCCTTCCCATTCTCCTGAATGTCCCCCACGTCTAGAACAACAAAGTCCACCGGGACAATAAGTTTCCCTATACGAACAAGGACATCTTCCACCACCCCCTTAGGGTATCGAATCAAATGGTCGGCCAGCTGCAAGCACATCCTAGTGGGTCTCAAGTATCCGAGACCGAGCCTCTGGAAGATAGAGAATGGCATGAGGTTGATTCCCGCTCCGAGGTCAAGCATCCCCGAAGCCTCTTTTCGGTTCCCGAGAGCAATTCTTATCACGAAACCCCCGAGGTCCCGTTCTTTCTTTGGAAGATCATGCTGCATGGCACTCGCTGCCTCATAAACCACCACTTTCTCCCCATCTCCGAACTTCCTCTTCTTCGTGACCAAATCTTTGAAGAACTTCATGTAAGAAGGCATGTTCTTGATCACGTCCAGGAGAGGTAAGTTGACATTGACTTTTAAGAGTATGTTGTACGGGTCTCGGAATTGCTGCTCTTGTTTCTCATCTCAAAGTCGGCTTGGGAAAGGAATGCGTGGATTGTAAGGGTTTGGAGACTTGTGAAGCAAAGGACTCTCTATCGATTTTCCCGAGTCGGTTTCTGTGCTCTTTCCGCTCTTCTCGGTTTCCATGGGCTGGTCGATTGGTTTGGGGTCATCAGGCTCGGGCATTCTTACTTTGTTGTCCACTTCCTTCCCGCTCCTCAACACTGTTATCGCTTTTGCTTGCTCGGGCTGGCTCGAAAGTTTCCCCTTGTCTGACTCAGCCTCCATGTTCCCGACTCTTGTGGCAAGTTGACCCACTTGCGTCTCGAGACGCTTAATAGATGAGTCCTGGTTGGTGATAAACTGAAGGATCTTGTCCAGCTTGTCCTCTTGATTTGACGAGCTTGAACCAGACCCTTGGGCTTGCTGTTGCAGTTGCTGTTGTTGTTGGTAGTTCGGACGAGGGATGAACACTACAAGAAATGTCAATTTTAACTAGACAAAAATTTCTAGCTAAATCCAAAAATTTCTAGCTAAATCCGTTTACCTATAAAATAGCTAGACAAAAATTTACCAGCAAGCACTTTACCTACAAAGATCTAGGTAAATGCCTAGTTATAATTGACATTTCTTGTAATGGAAGTTGGGACGAGGTTGTTGTTGCATGAAGTTTGGACGGGGTTGCTGTTGGTTAAAGTTTGGGCGAGGTGGCTGGAAGGTGTTGCTGTTGTTGGATGACGAGAAGTGTGGGTGATTTTTTCACCCGACTTGTACGTATTGGAGTAGAGGTCATTAGGATGCCGGTTCTGATAAGATTGGAGGGCATTGACGTCTGCATACTGTTCTCCTACCTCCTGGTCAAATGCTGATGGGCACACCTCGGATCTATGCCCCTGAACTCCATATGCACTGCATGTGTCTACCGTCATGGTCTGCACTGACTGACCTCATCGTGCATTCATTAGCCGCATTTGCTCCGTGAGTTCAGCTATTTGATGGGCCATCATGTCTTGAGCAGAAGATACCTCATTGACCACAGCCCTCTTCCCTCGATTGCTCTTTTGAGACGAGTTAGCACTCATCGTCTCAAAAATCTCATACATCTCTTCGGCTGTTTTTTCACCGATGTCTCCCCCCACAGCATTGTCAACCATATATTGCAAATTTTGATTGAGGGAGTCGTAGAAGCAATTCATCAAAAGTCCCGGTGAAAGATTGTGGTGAGGGCACTGCAGCTGGAGGTCTTTGAATCGCTCCCAGGCCTCGTGAAGAGGCTCACTCGGTAGTTGGGCAAACGAGACAATCTGCGACCGGAGCTCCTGAGTCTTCTGATGGGAGTAATACCTCCCAATGAACTTTGTGTATACTTCGGTCCAGGTAGTTAGAGAAGCCGGTGCAAGTGTTATGAACCAGGCCTTGGCCCGGTCTTTCAATGTCTCGGGGAAGCACCTCATCTTCAACTGATCCCCACTCAGCCCGTTCAGAGGGAAGGTGTTGAGGACATTGTAGAATTTCCGGATGAAGTTAAGCGGGTCTTTGCTCGGGAGCCCATGGAATGCCGGCAACTGGTTATAGTGAATCATTTTTAGCTCATAATTCCGTGCGGGATCTGGCAAACGGATGCAGGAAGTGACTGGCCCGATAACCGGCTGGGCTAAGGTTTGGAGGGTGTTATGAGACGGTTGTTGTTGTTGTTCACCCATGTCGACGTTACTGCCTTCTGACGATTTCGGGGAGTGCTCGTCTCCTTCGTTAGATTCGAGAGTAAGCTCTTCCAGCAGCTCCCGCAGGCTCTCGTTGACTGATTTGTTGATCGGAGATAGCAATTTTCGTCCACTCCTGGTACGCATACACTAAGACCAACAAGGGTTATGAGCACCAATGATAAAAACAAAATAAAAATCAAAATAAGACAAGAACTAACACCAAACAAATAAAAAAAAACAAGAGAAACACTGAAACAAAAAAAATCACAAGAAATAAGAGAAACACTAAAAACAAGATGAACAGTCGCACAAAATAAGTCAAACCCTCCCCGACAACGGCGCCAATTTGTTGTAAGTATTTTTACTGGAGTAGAATCGAAGGATTCGAACACCGGGTCGTATCACAAGGAAGGTTAGCCGGATTATTTGTACGGATATTCTATCACAAGAAAAGAGGAAAAGAAATCCTAAACATTCTATTCAAGATTGACGGTTTGTTTATCAACTACTGATTGTAAAGCAAGTGATTATAAAAGCAAGGCAAAACTAGGAATCTCAAATTCGCAACTCAATACTCAAACTCAATTTATGGAAAAGGGGCTAGAGTATCGGGGTCAATCAATTCCTGTTCTCAATACACTTAACGAGCAATCAAGAGCTCGGTTAAATGTCTCGCTAAACTACTCATCTAGAGGTCTATCCTCAATAACTCTTCGTAACAAGAGGATAGACATAAACGAGCAATTCTTGAAACAATCAACACATAAGCAATACTATTACGAACAAACTTATTTCTAACGAGCCTAGATCAAACGATTTCTCTCTTTTCAGTTCTAAAATTGATTAATTAGATAAAGATGGTGATCAAGCAACAAAACCCTAGGGTAAGCACAACTCGAGAGGATTGAGCAATTATCATGCATATAAACGAAATCGAACCGGAACTATCTTCCCCTAACCCTAGCTAACGGATTTAGCTACTCATCACGCATTCAACATCAAAATTCATAACAATCCAAGCTATCTCAATTATTAAGAAAATGAAACGAAAGCTTACGATTAATGAGTTCAATGTCGAAAACAAGAACAAGTCGAATCCAAAGTCGAATCTCGGAGTTTTCCTCTCCAAGATTGAGTTCCAAAATCAAAATCAAGAGAAAGTATGAGTTTTGGGTGAAAAATATCAAGAACTTCGAAAAACCTAGATCAAAACATGAATAATACGTTTCAAAAGAAATATATTGTTTTAAAATCTGAAACCGCGTGTTCCGCGGCCGCGGACAAGCTCGCGGGCCGCGGTGAAGGAATGGTCCGCGGCCGCGACTCGTCCCGCGGCCGCGACTTTTCTTCTCTGTCCACTGGTTGCAAAATCTCAGGCTTTCCGCGGCCGCGACTTCCTCCTCCGCGGCCGCGGTGAAGAAAACTGAGCGCTGGACATGGTTTGTTCACCGCGGCCGCGGGAACACAGTCGCGGCCCGCGGCGAAGGGTTTGTGTGACAAGACTGCGATTTCCGGGCTCGTATCCACGCATCCAGACTCAGAATTGGATTCCGTCTTTTTCTACTCGACCCCAACTCATCCGTCTAGATATAATCCTCGCATGGCCACTTCCCAACCGAGCTACCTAACCTGCAAACCACCACCGACAAGAAAAACACAGAAAACCGGGAAAAACAAACAAGAAAAACCAAACACGATCAAAATAAAAAAAATACACGACACGACACAAAATGGACCAAGAACCAAAGAAAATAACCTAGAATGGGGAAAAATAAATGCAAAATAAACAAGGAAAATATGAAAAAAATGGAACGAACAATTCACACATCGATTCAGTGGAACTTGGAGCTCTCGGTTCAAGGTTCAAAAGACAAGATTCAAGAGGTTTCTCAACACCTTTGGTACCGAAACTAGTTGAATGGTTCAAAAACAGATCAATGGTATCGGCCGGTGAATCATCCCACGAAAGGTGGGACAGTCGCTGGTGTCGCCTAAGCGGGGCCCTGAGACGCGAGTGTGTACCTGTTCAGGAACAAACTTTAAGGTCAAGGTTTGGTTGTACGCACTGGCCTGGGGAGTTTGGCGTTCAGTGATGACGGCGGCAACTCTCGTTCGAGTCAATGGTCGGCCACTGCAGTTGGCCTCACGTCTCTCAGCACGGGCGTGCATGCTCGACCACCAGTTTGCGTGGCTACACCCAGCTAGGGTCGGTGTTCGGTTTGAGGTACAGAAAAGAAATTCTCTAACCCCGGGTTCATAATTTCTAAGGTAAACAGAAGGAATAATGGTTTTACACAAAATTCCAAACTACAAAAAGTTAGGGTCCAATCAAAGATGATTCCATTAGGTACAAAACAATTTCAACGGTTTCAAGGGTGTCAAACTTTATAAGGCATAAACCGAGTTCTAAGTTCACCACCATTTTTAATCAACACAAAATCCACTGAACAACCAACGATAGAGGTCGGAAAACTTCACAAAAGAAACGAGTATTGGTTCCTCAGCCAGGAACAATCCCAATCCTAGCGGTCATTACCGAATAATGATCGCTTAGCTCATTCGACTCTTTCGACTAACTGTGTCGGCCGTCACGTCAGGTCTCAGTCAAGTAGCTAGCCATGCCGGCACTCTTAAATGAGCTTCCAAAGATTACAATGAACGAATATCAAAAGTGAAGGTGGTTCTGCACTCCACGATGTGCTTGTACCAGGCACGGCTACACTCCTTAAAAGATTCTCAAAATCTTTTAAGGTGGAACAACACTTCTCGACTCCCTAATTCATACTGAATTAAAGGCATCACAACACAAGTTTCTCAATTTATGAGAATAGATAATAATCATAAAAGAATTAAAATACTTAACTCCATCCGAAATCTCATTCCATGCAACGGAAGAGAAGGCAAAAGAAAATTCCAAAGTACTGAAACTGAACAACATAAGGGAGTCTCAAACGCAATTCAAACTAGTATGCCAAGCGAAAGGAAATAAAACAAGTCTTGCAAAGTTTTCAATGCAAAAGAGAAGACTCAATGCCATAAGTAGACTCATCACTGAGAATCAAAGAGTCTGCGAGTCCAAAGAGGAGATCCAGAATCATGTTGAGGCCTTTTACAAGAATCTTTTCACATCAGAAGGCTCTTCAAGTGGAGATAGTATCATTCAGCATGTTGCTCACTCAATCACTGACTTTGAACCGTTCTGCCTTTTGTGTAAACGATGAATATACTTCACACAGGATTCTTCCTAACATATTCCAGTTCTCATTATTTTGTCCATTAGTGGCTCTGGACATATATAGCCTGGTTCTGTGAAAGGGTCTAAGAATTGAGCCTCACACAATTCTCTTCAAAGCGGCCCCACTTCTCTCTCACATAGGTGATTCTTAATTACAAGTAACTTGTACTACCTTTCCTTAAAATTTTCAGAATATAATTCGTCCTTTATGATAGGTTAATAATTAAAATGAGTTTTATCCTGAATATTGTAAGAACTTTCATAATTTGTGTGTTTATTGTGTAAAACTGAAATTTTTATATGTTGGTCCTTACCTGCTGTAGTTGATTCGGTAAAAATTTCAAGTATTAATTTATTCATTAGGCCAGACTATGAACTTATGTTCGTTTTTGCTGAAATCGTGTTTGAATTTTATAAAATGGTGTGTTTTGAGTTAAGGGCTGAGATTTGGTGATTTTGCTAAGTCCAGTGAGGTGGATTTTATGTTATTATTTCAGGAAAAAAAAATATTTCAACGTATGAGTATTCTTTCAATGTGAAACTTTTATGACAACTCTATATATATGTGAGAGTATGCATATTAAATTTCAACTTAAAATGATGTGATTTGAGTAAGTTACAAAAGTTAGAGATGAATCATGTAAATGTGATTTTAGTTTGAGTTTTCTCATTCTATTAATGTGAAATCTTGATGAGCATGTATTACATGAGTTGTGATTATAAATGTCAAGTTTCAGCTCTATATGTTAATTGTAAATTTTAGTATTTTCTGAGCCAAATCAGTTCAGTTTAAGTATACCAGTTAAATCCAGAATTAGAACCTTTGGAGTGTTTCTTTATATCGGATAAGTTATCTGATAGAGTCGAGCGTCCTAGAATTCTATTGAGTATATGAGCGTAGTACTTAGTATATTTGTTTATATTTTTAATTAGCTTACAAATACAGTTTTCAAAAGTTTTCAAAAGAAGAACAGGTGGGGACCAAGTACTGGGTATTTCATTGCTTCTAATCACTTATCATGTATGAGGTATATATGTTTGAGTTTCGCCATAGTGCGATGACCTACAAAGGTGAGGTCCCAGTTATCGCTTGGGAGGAGACCCTAGAGTCCTTAATACCCCATCCAGGTTCTGATTAAGCCTAGATGGCTTAAATCAGAGTATGCATACGATTACCGTCCGCAGAGTTCGGGAGTTAAGCATACAGGCCTCAGAGTCCGGGATTTAAGAGTACCGGCCACAGAGTCCGAAAGCTATGATCAGTTTCAGTTCTTATATATATACCGATTTCATGATTTGTTATTAGATGTACTGTTTATTCAGTGTTGGTTTATGAGTAGCACCGTGGTTATATATTTGTGCTAACTCCCCCACAACCAATCTTTCCCGAGGTCATCCTGAGCAGCGTGGAGCATGAGGAATGGTGGTTGGTTGATCGTGGTTCTTCCATAGTTTGCATAATAAGTTCAAGAATAAAGTTTTATGTACAGAGCTTGAACATGTTTCCAAAACAATGTTTTTAATTCCGCTGTGCTTTTCAGAAAAGATATTTATGAATTTCGGCATGTGTAGTAATTCAGATATTTACTATAAAGATGACATGCAGGAGTTTTTATACGTTATGGTATAATAAGCTGTTTTCAGACATAGTATCATCCCGAGATAAAGATAAGTATTTTCGAAAAAGGCAGTTCTTTCGAAAATAAAATGATTTTTTTACTATGATTTTAAAGATAATTCATAAAGTAAAGTGGGGGTGCTACATAACGGGATTTTAGTTTTTTTGGGAGGGACTTCAATTTGTGAATTTGACAAGTCAGAAGGGCTTGGTTGCAAATTAGTTTATGTGTCAAATTTGTAATTACACAAACTACAATTAATATTTTAATAATTTATTT